GCTGAGGTTTAGGTAGCGGTTGTTTGTCTGGTCTCGGAGTCTGTTGTGCGGGGCCCGGATCTGGACTAGCTTAGCCTAGCCTAGCCGCTAACTCGCTACTCCTATGGCAGCTGCCGTCTCTTCCTCAATCCTTTACTGCTCGAGTTGCCATATGGCGAGTCTAAACCCTGGATCCTTCTCTGAGGGTAGTGATAGATGTGTGAAGTGTAGTGTAGTCGTAGCTCTGGAATCCAGGGTCAGTGAGTTAGAGCTGCGTCTCTGAGCACTACAGAATTTACTTGTGGTCCCAAAGACCCGCTATAAGACCCGGGGGGACCGGTCCTTCCAGTCCGTGGCCCCCAGACTGTGGAACGCTTTGCCTCTGTCCCTCCGTGTGGTCAACTCTGCCGATGCTTTTAAAAAGGGACGAAAGACACTTCTTTTTAGGGCAGCTTTTGGTTAATTTCTTGTTTTTATGTTATTTTCTATTTTTATTGTATATACATATCCGGTTTTACCTTGTACAGCACTTTGTGATTTTTATCTGTGAAAGGTGCTCTATGAATAAAACTTACTTACTTACTTACTACAAAAGTACAAACATGTAAGTGTCTTCTTGCTAGAGACAGCCAGTTCAGCTGCGAGTACATTTGACAATGGTGTGTCATGTATGGACATGTTAAAACAAACCTACAAATACTACTGTATTGTAAACAACATTCTAAGGAGTTGAGAGAAGTTACGGAGGCGCTCTGATCATTTATATCTGCGTAATCTAACAGAGGAAGCAATAACTGTGTAGCGAGTCTTTTCCTGACTGCAAAGGTAAAACAATAAATACACTGATGTAAGGTTCGCAGGCGGTTCGTGACATTCTTGACGATGGTGTTGATTTAAAGGTTAGTTGGGAATCTAAGTCCCAAGTATTTAAATTCATCCACTTTTATCAAACGAGTCTAATCATTCATTATTCATTCTTGTTAGTCTCTAAACTGTAACAGCCAAAGAAAATAGCTTAATAAGCACGCATAAAGTCCTTAACCAGCCAAGGAGTGGCATCTCTTAAAAGAGTAAGTAGTAATCTTTATTTATATACCGCCTTTCACAGACCAGAGTCACAAAGCGGTTTACAATTGTTATTATTTTTGGGCATTTGTCTCTCACTCCACACAGAGATGGGAGCAGGGTTGCCAGTACAAGAGGCGCATGCCAGACCTATTGTGCATGTTTTTAGTGGTAGGGGAAACCGGAGTACCCGGAGGAAACCTACGCAGACATGGGGAGAACATGGAAACTCCACTCAGAAAGGCCCTAGTCCGGCCGGGATTCGAACCCAGGACCTTCATGCTGAGAGGCGAGAGTGCTATCCACTCAGCCACTGTGCCGCCCCGAGCTGTGTCACAATAATGAACCAGTTTTTCCAAATAATAATATAAAAACCATAAAGTAGAATTAAATACATACTAAAAACTGTGAATATGAAATTCCAGGATTACTGTGTAGATTGAAATGACAGTTTCCTCAGTTGTTTTGGTGCATTTTTCACATCAGACTTAAAGTTCTCAAAACTATTAGTTCAATCTCCACCACATTGAGTCATTTGTGCACATCATCGTAGCATTTTCTCCTTTTGGACATGTATCAGTTATTTTCATACAATTCTCTGATGTTTTATAACTTTATGATTTGCCTGTGTCCTGTCAGTCAGAATGAAAAATACTTATGACGGAATTGTCTTTCCCTATGATGTATGTTCACTTTACATTAATGTACTGTTATATCGTTTACGTTTGTCACAGATCTACCATAATGCTATTTCTTATGTTTGTTCTAAATACTGTACGTTTTTTTGTTTTTTTTGCACAATGCTGTTGAATTGCAGAAAGCATATGCAGGAAATATGTTAAATAAATGCATACATGCAATCATACATATGTACGAACATGTATGTATGCACACATGTACAGCATACACACATAGATACATGTACATACATACATGTACATACATACATGTACATACATACATGTACATCCTACATACATGGGGCAACAGTGGCTCAGTCGGTAGAGCTTTTTTGACACGCCTTTGAGCCTGAAGGTCGTGGGTTCGAGCCCACCACAAGACTTAGTTCATGACTCCCACTGATGTCTGCTGTCATTGTGTCCTTGGACAAGACACTTAACCCTACTTTGCCTGAAGCCCCCACTGAAAGATCTCAGCTCCTGTGGACTCACCTGCAGGAGGATCAGTGAGGGGCTGGTGCTCTGTGTACTGGGGGCAGCTCTGACTGCCACCCCCCTAACCCAGAAATGGATTAAGGGGAAGAAAATGGATGGATGGACATACACACATACATACATACAAACATATATACACATATACATACATACACACATACATATGAATGTCATACAATGAAAACACGACAAATCCACGACTGTCTTGTTCATAAACACTGGTGTCAGGACTTGTTTCATTGACACAAAGCTTTTGAGGAATTAACTTTCCACTTTGAGAAAGTGATGCATTTTTGCAGGTTCTCGACAAGGTTTTGCAGTTTGTACTGCAAATGTGAAGAGTGATGTGAGAAATGCCCCAAAGCGACTGAGAAAAACTGTAATAATCTTGCTTTTAAACCACTGTCAATTTTGGCCCCTGTGCTGTTTTCTGAAGGATTGTATGTTCACTCTTTTATTCATGGTTCTAACGCCTTGATTTTTGCCTCGTGTATGATATATGCACTATACATATTGCCTTTCCTATTCATCAACTTGGACCTGACACACACACACATACACACACTCTGAGTGTAGTGGGCACTTACACACACATAAGACTCTGCGTCAGAAGCGTGAGGTCT